AGCAGTCTGATTTCAATCCAAAATGACAACTCGGACTCAAGACCAGAAGTCATTTTGGAAATCAGGCAGCTGTACCAGAGGGTTTTAGAGAAGGGAAGCAAAGTAGAACTCGTGTGGATTCCATCACATGTCAACATTAGAGGAAACGAGGAGGCAGATCGACTCGCCAATGAAGGTCTCAAGGACACAGCACCACGCCGCACCATAGACTACAGCACCACGGAAATCTACAGTATGGTCAAAAGACAGGTCAATTCAATCTGGGAATTAAATCTCGTTGAACTTGACACATACAGATTCCGGCTGGATGACAAGATCTACACAAAGGCAACACTCAATCACCCTAGAAGAGATATTTGTAGACTTATCTCGAAGCTAAGGGTGAAAGAGCGATTGCGAGACTACTAACACCAAGTCATCATCTGTGAGTGCGTAGAAGAATGTACCACCAACCATGTCCTGGTAGACTGCGAGGTATACGAGGAGGAGAGAAGGGAACTAGTGAGAACAATGGAGACCAACAACATACCATTCAACACTAAGAACCTACTCTTCCCGAGACCAGATCTGAAACTGCAAATCTTCGAACAAATCCACGCCCTAATGGACACAGTTGGACTAAGTAGATTAGTGAAGTAAGAGGGGGTCACGGTTAGACGGGCCCGGCATCTAAACACTAAACTACATAGGGGATTTATACCAAACTGGCAGGATAGTGGAGTAAGGGGGAGTCACGATCAGACGGACTCGGCATCTAAACACTATTCCACCAAAAACAGACACCAAACCTACAGAGTGGGATAGTGGAGTAAGGGGAGGTCACTAAGAACCTACTCCTCCCGAGACCAGATCTGAAACTGCAAATCTTCGAACAAATCCACGCTCTAATGGACACAGTTGGACTAAGTAGATTAGTGAAGTAAGAGGGGGTCACGTTTAGACGGGCCCGGCATGCAGCACTAAGATCTAATAGCACAAGTTTCACAACGTTTTTATCATTCAGTTTTAAGAGAATGTCATTACAAACTCGAACCAAGGCCGTTTCTGTGCTGTGTAAACTTTTATAGGCTGACTGAAAACTATCATTTAAATTATTGCATTTTAGCTCTTGTTTAAATTTTATGGAGATAACTTTCTCAATCAATTTGGTGGCAAAAGATAAATTAGACACAGGTCTATAGTTTTTAAGAATATTTTTGTCAAGGTTCGATTTTTTCAATAGTGGCCTAACTTCGGCTTCTTTTAAGACTGTTGGAAAAGTACCAGACATCAACGATGCATTAACAATTGAGGTTAGAATGGGTAGAATTTCGTCCAAACATGATTTCAGTAAGTGCGTTGGAATTGGGTCTAAGCCACAAGTGGATGATGACGAATTGGTTATTATTTTTTTCAATTCCGATGAGGAAACTTCATCAAAAGAAGAATAACTATCTACATCTGTTTCTGAATCTGAACTACAATAGTTTGAATGCAATTTTTCTGACTCAAGATTTGTACGAATCGCTTCAATTTTCTCAACAAAGAAGTTTGAAAAAGATTCAGTAAGACAGACACTACTATCAGTGTCTGGAAGATCCAATGAACTATCAGATGACTTTATAAAGCCGTTTATAATGTTGTATATCTCCTTTGTATTTTCTGAATTTACAGTGATTTGATCAAGGATGAATTTACGTTTCAATGTTTAAATTAAATTATTTGTTTCGTTTCTAGATTTAATGTATAATTGGCGATGGATTTCAAGTTTAGTTTTGCGCCAAAGAGCTTCAACAGTTTTACGTCGTAACTTACTTTCGCGAGCTTCGTCATTGAACCATTTCCTGTTTGGTCTGAGTGTAATATTCTTTTGAAGAGATGGGGCATGATTATCGAAAATTTCCTTAAGTACTGAATTATAAGGATATATTTTCTTGTCGACACTATTTTCGTTCTCAATCCTTTCTAACAATGAAGAACATATTATATCCTCATTTAGCTCTTTAATACCAATGTTGAGAATCTTTCTAAAAGTTATCAGCCGTTTTAAAGCCTTGGGTTTTGAAACGGAAAGATCTGCAAAAACACAGAAGTGGTCAGATATAAACTTGTTTTCAACATGCAAATTTTCAATAACCATTAAGATTTTTTTTCGCATTTTAATTTCCCATTAGAAAGTCAGCTAACTCAGCCGTAAGTTATTAACAAAATTTGTCAGGATCACTTTTTAGACATATATATGCAACACATGGTAACACAAGTATACTCAGCCAAATTAAAAACTTGACACTGATGAATTTCAACAAAAAAATTTTTCTGGTAAGTCAAATAAATTTTAAAGTGTTTCTAACGATAGTAAGTAGTAAGAAACCTTTAATTTCATAAAATTGTAAGGTTGGTGGATCACGTGACTTTTGAGCATATAAAGATGAAAAACCTGAAAAACACATGCAAACACAAACTCGTGAGGTCAATCGATGCAAGTTTGCTTAAACTGAACACGCACACGTAACTTGAACAGGAAAAACAAATTAAAATTGTTATTTTCATCTTTGTTAGAAAATGCCGCGCCTTTCAAATGTAGAACGTCTACGTGCTATAGGTAGGCTCTATGCTGGTCAGTCTGTGGTCACTGTTGCAAGAGCCTTTAATTGTTCACGCCAGACAATAATTAATCTTAGAATGAGAGTGCTTCAAACTGGAACTATTGCCGACCGCCCAAGGGCGGGAGCGCCACGTGTGACGTCACTCCAGGAAGATCACGCAATACGATTACGTCATCTTAGAAACAGATTTGTCACTGCAACCTCCACAAGTAGAAAGATGTTTGGTGGAAGGGTAACTGCACAAACTGTTTGAAATCGCTTGCAGGCTGCTGGTCTTCAAGCTCGGAGGCCCTATAATGGACCAATATTGACACCTCTTCATCGCCGTAACCGACTTGTGTGGGCCACAAGACACATAAGATTTACTCAAAGACAGTAGAATCTCGATTCACTTTGAGATTTGCCGATGGCAGGGCGCGAGTGTACCGCAGACGGGGTGAACGTTACGTGTCATGGTTTGGGTTTTTTTTTGTGCACATGGACGTTCTCCTCTTGTTGTTGTCCAAGGGAACTTAAATGCTGTCCAGTACAGGGATCAGATTTTGCAACCTGTTCTTCTTCCGTTTATGCAGAGACATGGGCCTGGACTAACGTTTCAACAAGACAATGCTCGACACCATACAGCAATTGCTACCCAGAATTTTTTAAGAAATGCCGGTGTCCAAGTTCTGGATTGGCCGTCGCTTAGCCCCGACCTTAATCCTATTGAACACATCTGGGACGAACTGGGTCGACGTGTTTGTCAGCAAGTGAATCCACCACTGAAGTTGCAGGACCTTCAACATGCTCTTGCTGAGCAGTGGCGACGTCTTCCTCGGGTAGTGTTTACTAATGTTCTGAGATCCATGAGAAGACGTTGTGTGGCAGTACGAGACGCTAGAGGATGCCACAACCGTTACTAAACACTTTATTCCGTTTGTTGTCCAAGTCTGTGAATTTCATTTTGGGGGGTACTGTGACATCACGAACGTTATCAATGTCAAGGACTTTCGGCGAGACGTATTCTTGCTTTCTGTTGATGTCAAGGTCGTCTGTGCACAACATAACACTAAAGTAGTTGCCTTAAACCAAATATTAAAAATCTAGTCCCAAAAATCCCGAGTGTCAAGTTTTTAACTTGGCTGAGTATATAAATGGAATTGATATTGCTGGAATTGGTTGATTCTGCGTCCATTTTATAATGCTTATGTGGAAATGTGTTTAACGGTTTCATTTGTACCGGAAGTGGCATAAGTTCAAGGGTAACGTGGCACCGGTGAATCCCGTCATTACTGCATCGCAGTTCTAGTTCTGTATGTTATATATATGTTATGTATTTCAAATAATTCAGTCAACATAATTATTCATTTCATTGTAAAGAAAGTAAGATTGGATTGTTAACTGTTGTCTGATCCCTTATGCAGTTGATATAGTTGTTGAAGTTATACCTCTTGGGGGAGGCTCTCCAGGTAGGAGGTGTAATGGTTAAGTTGTTTGAGCACATGGTTTTTGAGTACTGACTATGGGACTAATAAAGATGTCAAATATAAACTGAATCGATATTAATTTCTAACAATTACATGCTATAAAAGGGTGCAGCCATTTTGTTGGGTAGTTTGGTTCCGATTTTCACGAAATTTGCACGCAACCGTAATTAAAGTGTAACAGTGATATACTTGAACGGTTTTTACAATCAAATAAAAACTGTGAGTTCTAGAGAGTCTACAAGCTAAAAATGTATATATAGGTGGTTTCGATTCTACGGTTGTACATGACAAGGTGTAGGGGCGCCTTTCCAACCTCATGGAATTTCTCCGGGTCCTCCGGTTTCCTCTCACTGCTAAAGACCCCTACGCGCCAGCAAATTATTGAAATGGAATTGAACCATATATGATATATTAGTCCTGAAATGACCTAGTTTGTGTCGAGTTGACGTTCAATCCCATTTCTCTCTCTCCCCCTATATGCGGCATTATCGAAAGAAACCAATCTGTTTCGGTTATATTATAAACATATATTGTCAGTTTTATCAAAATTGTATAAAAAATGTGACCTCTAGATTGTCTACAACCTTGGTATTATTATGCATACAAGTTCAGTATCGTAGGAAACCACCATCAACTGTGTTTGCATGGTAAAAGATTTAGAAAAGAAATAAAATTTCACTTCAATGCTGAGAAATTTTATTAGCCAGAAAAAGCTTAGAATACGTATCTGACAATCTAGACCCCAAGCAGCTTCCGGTGCATAGGTGGCCCCTGGATGATAGCCAATCAAGTAGTATATGCGATTGCTGTTGGAGGTGTCTGTGTAATTGCTTGTGTGTAGTGCGGTCCCCCTGCACTTACTATTAAATACACAGTATCAAGTTTAAAGGGTTATAGGCTAAATGCACAAATTAAATATATCCTATACTTTAATGAAACATTTATTTACCTGATGTTGATAGATATGCCAGTATAATCACCCAATAAACAAAAAATATCAGCAAAAAAAAGAAGGTCCACAATGGCTGCATTAATAGACAAGGCATAGCAGCAACACAATTACCAGCTTCATGAAATAACGTCACAACTAGAGATATGCGCTTTCTTATAATTAATATCACCAACAATAATATAACCTGTAACATACAAAATATTCCATTAAACAATACTAATTTGTACTAGACTTATTCAACATCTTTTGATCCATATATGTTAAGTTTAATCTGAAACGGACAAAACATGTGGACTCGGTCGCCAAAGTCGCAATTTGCAATAAAAAAAATGAAAGTGGCGATTAAAAATTGATTTTGGCGATAATTTTTGCGATAATCACGCCAAATGTTTGTACACGCACTACTGATCACTCCTCACCTCTGACTGGCTTTCATCCTCAGTGGGACAGGTACCAGTCAACGCTACTGGTTATCGACTGATTGTGGATGGTATCCAATTTTGGTTTTGATATTGTTTAAGAAGTTTGCAGTTTGAAACAAATATAGTCACATTTTTGCATTTAACCCCACTTTAAGGGCGTTCAGTAGTCTATGATACACAATAACTTTTCAACACAAACCTTATGAAGACTTTGTTGCACACTTGTTCCATAACGACCCGACCGTTTGTTGTGTAATAATGGAGATACATGCAGAAAAGAAAACAACTATTTATAGCAAACGAGAACCTAAATCAGTTCACGTTATCCGCAGTTAACAATCATGGCCGCCTCCAGCGGCAGTTTAACACTGCATCATTGATGTCTATCTATATATGACGTCAGAACGATTTCCCTCTAAGACGCGATTATCTATATCTACCATCTATCACAATTGGAAAATGGTTGAATTTCTTTTTTTGATGGTCAAAGACTGCAGTTATTGAATGTATTTAATAAAAATGATTTTGAGAGCGGCGGAGTTGTGCACTGAAGTAAATATTTACTTTTTACTTCTGAATTGTTGTATTTTAAAACTTGTTGTGGACGTATTCAAAGAATTTACAGGAAACCATAAAATCTCAATTTTCGTTTGACGGTAAATAATGTTTTTGGTGTCGAAATGTCGCTTATAACCTCTACTTTCGATCCAAGGAGGGGATTATCGATATCACTTTTTAGCATGTACTAATAGAATTTCCAAGAAAACTAATCGTTTTTGGCGTTTCCACAGCTTATAGCCAACCAGTGGTTGCTATGCAAGATACGCCCACATTTTGCAAGAGATGGATAGAGAACAAGCTAAAACAAAAACATGACTTTTCGTACAATCAGAGGCCATAATCCAGGAACTTAAGGTCTGAAATGGGCGAATATCGAAAGGGACTTAGATCTTTGGGATATAAATATATATTTTAAATTTCATCAAAATTGGACTAAAATTGTGACATCAAGAGAATCCACAACCTTCGTATTACATACTTTTACACAAGTTGCGTAGAAGGAGCGGACATTTTATCAAGCAGTTTCGTTTCTATTTTCCCGAAATTTTAACCCAACCTTCATTATGGTGTAAAGGTGATATATTTTAACGTTTTTTAAAATCAGATAAAAAATGTGAGAGAGAGAAACGGGTTTAACGTCCACTCGACACAAACTAGGTCATTTCGGGACTAATATATGGTTTTTATTTTATTTCAATAATACGCTTGCGCATAGGGGTCTTTAGCAGAGGGAGGAAACCGGAGGACCCGAAGAAAACCCACGAGGTTGGACAGGCGACCCTACTCCTTGTCACGTACAACCGGGGATTCGAAACCACGCCAGTCGACTCAATGACAGACTTTATGATACAGCGCGCGCACGCTAACCATTCAGCCATCCACCCCCCGCCCCAGATAAAAAATGTGACCTCCAAAGAGTAACGATGATAATGATATATTTAAACGATTTTCAAAATCAGATAAAAATGTGACCTCTAAAGTGTCCACAAGCTAAAATCGCGATTTTTTCATACAATCAGGGGCCATCATCCAGGAAGTTACGGTTCGATATGCACAAATATCAAAAGGAACCGAGATCTTTAGGATATAAACATACATTTAAGTTTCATCAAAATCACACTTTAACACTATTAGCTTACAGGGAGATATTACATACATTGATATTATATACTTTAACACTTTTTGCTTACGGGAGCGACCATTTTGTCTGGAAGTTTCGGTCCGATTTTCATGAAATTCGAACTCAAATGTCATTATGGTGTAACAGTGATATATTCGAATGGTTTTTCAAATTGGATAAAAAAAATTGTGACCTTTAGCTAAAGCTAAAACGCGATTTTTCATACAATCAGGGGCCATAAATCCAGGAGAGAAAGAGAAAGAAATGGGGTTTAACGTTAGCATTACCACATCAAAACCTCATTAAGCAGATAATGTGTTTTTCTATGAACATTTTCCTCTTCCTAGATGGCAGCATTTTTGTGACAAAAAGTAACAGACTTACCTATAGGAAAAACACACCCTCGAAATAGGGCATTTTGAGGCTAAAACATGTCTTTTAAAGATCCTAAAATAACCCTGGCAATATCAAGGGCAATGAGTTAAAATATTGCAGTACAGATGAAAAATGAATGATGAGTTCAATTTTATTGTCAAATTACCGCAACATCACATGCCTTCCGTGGAATGCTGACCATCTTGGATTTCCTTTAAAACAGCCATTAAAATGTACTGATATCATTAAGTCAGCATCAAATGACACTACACTGTTATTCAAATTGCTTAATTTTGCACTCAATAAAGTTAGGTTGATCTTGTTCATGACTTCAAAGAAAAATGGTGGCCATTTTGGAATCCAAGATGGCCGACTTGCCAGATTCCGTCACAGTCTGATGTCAATTTTATACACCAATATTGAAATGTGGTCGTATATTGTGGTCGCCCCCGTCCGTCGGCCCGTCGGTCGTCAGCAATTGATTTTCAGCGATTTTCGATAATTACTGCCAGAGTTATGGCCCTTTATCACTTTCAAAAATCTTGTGGATGCGCTAGACACTAAAGTTAATATCCGATTGACTTTAAATTGATACACAGTGTTTAAGGTCATGAGACGAAGAATCCTATTGATTTTCAGCGATTTCCGATAATTTTTGCACAGTTATGGCCCTTGATCACGTTGAAAAATCTTGTGGACGCTCTACAGGCTAAAGTTAATATCCGATTGACTTCAGATTGATACACAGAGTTTAAGGTCTTGAGACGAAGAAGTATATTGATTTTCAATGAATCTTTATGACTTGAACAGCTAAAGTTTCGTATACTAAACGTTAGCATGGGGCAGAACAAATTCTAATGGGTTGTTACTCTAAATTAGATTTTAATGTATTATAAATGTTTCATTAGCGAAAAAAGTAAAAATATGCGACATCTCTTGTTGACTGCCCGGACGATATAGCTGCTGTGGGCGGATGTTTCGTTGCCTGGCAACCTATCTTTTCGGTGCTCAACATATGGGTTGTAATATATCAAATTAATGGTATTGAAGAGTAAATAACAGTTTCCAAATGCCCAATTACCACCTGAGAAAATATAACATGTTAAATTAGGAAGTGTTTATGCTGAACATTTATGTAATAATAATATGCACAATTCGGAGACAGGGTCGTGTTTGATTAAGAATTAATATTAATAATAATATTGCTTGTACAACTTAAATTTAATTGTTTCGCTGTAGGCCTACAATCAAAAATGTGAGACCCCTATTGCCTTCTGCAAGTTCTGCCCATAGCCGTGAGCGACCCTTTAATTAAATTATTTGTGCTTAAAAACAATAACAGAATACTTGTAGAAACGTTGTGCTATATGTGTAGAAACCAGTGATTCTTTTCCATATAAATTGGGTTGAGGTTTTTAATTTTAATAACTTTTTGACTTAACAAACTGTCGACTGTTGTTCATAAAATAATTGTAGCTCTATAACAGATACTACGCACATCGCAAACAAATCATATTTACACAATTAATAATTTTATGTTTTGTCCAGATCAAAGAGATCATATTATTTAATGAGTTACATTTTAATTAAAATGATAATATTGATACATATGTAGCCTACCTGATTATTGAGAAAATGTTTGGTAAATAAGCTTATTTATAGTTTTAAATAGTTTTAATAATATCTATAATCAACTAATTCATGAGACATACAAGTTTGTCTTTCGGTTTCAAGACCACGTTCAGTAAATTAAAATCAAATGTGACCCTCCATAGCATACTGAGTCACAATGAGGAAATTTTGAAAATTGAGTAATTGTTTTATTCACATTCTCCAACTCATTACCTTCAATTTGATGTATAGTTTGTTTGAATTGGGCAAAAATTGCCTGAGCTATGTCCATTAGAAGCTACCCAACTCACAAAAGAAAGTTTTGAGAAAAAGCAAGTCAAAGATTTGGTATGCATTCCTTTCGCAACGAAACATCCACAACACATACGGCATAATATTCACATGATAGTGTTATACTGAAGAACAATCTATACATTAGTCTGCCAGCTAGTGATCAGGAGATTGAGATTGTTGATTGGATAATCATCAAAGCCGCCGCCACAGCTGTACACGTGTTTATTTAACTAATGAATTAAAATCAGATTTTGCGTGTACGATAGGTCTATTATTATTTTTAGGTACCGTGACGTTATCAAAATATGAGTCCCTATAGAAATGTCAATTTCATAGTCAAGAAATGCTAACATTCACTTTCGTGCATTTTGGCTTTGATGTAAATATCAACATTATTCAGAGGATACTCAATGGCAGACTCGAGAATCGTCGGATTTCGGCTCATTGGTCGTTATCATTTTTTCGACCCATGGTGATAAGAGAATATTAAACAATAATATCCAAGATGCATTCCTTACTTTGCATGCCGCATGAAGAAGCGACAGTAAACAGAATTCAGCTATCAATAAAATTCTCTTCGAAAAGAAAATTATTGGCCATTTTGTTTATTTCCATTTAAGGCCTATAGATTATTTTTTTAATAAATGAAGACCACACAAGAAATGATTAATATTCATATGAATATTTCGCTCCGAATCTGATAAATCGGACAAGTTTTCTACAGTCGACAAGGGTTGTCGCATATTTATTCTTTTGTAGGTAATTAGTGGAATTTAATAGACAATTTCATACAGATGACATTATAATTTTCGTCTTTAGAGGGTTCACATGGTTCTAAAAACTAAAACAAGGGCCGTAACTCTGGATGAAATCTACAGAAATTGTTGAAATTCGACAAGCTTTTTTTTCGTTTTACTAATTCAAATAATGCATATCAATTTCATACAAATCGGATGATAACCTTTGTCGTTCAAACGTTCACAAGGTTCAACAAAGTAAAACAAGGGCGATAACTCTAGAAGTAATTGACGGAAATTGCTGACATTCAATAGGCTTTTTTATTTCACTAAATTTGTTCGTTTTTCTAATTTAAACGATACATATAAATTTCATACAGATCAGATAATAACTTTGGCTTGATTCGGTTTGGCCTTCCGATTTAAATGAGTTAAATCCAGGGGGTTTCAAAATCATTCACAATAACGCATAATTTTCCTTTCTTGTGAAATTTTACCTTTATTTTAAGTTAACCTTTCATGTTATCTATCTAACTCCATAACTTCCTACGATGTTATTACTGACTTCCAATCATTTTATATTTAATTCTTCATCCCTGAAGAAGTTAGTATTTGTTGGACAAAATGATGGTTCTTTAATATTGTATTCTATTAATTATTGTACTTGTAAAATTTTACCTTTATTAAAGCCTAACCTTTCATGTTATGTATCTAACTCAATTATTAAAATAAATAAAGACGTTTGAAGTATTTGTAGGTAAAAAATATTTCCTAATTTAGTGTAAATGGGTATTAAAATGAGTAAAAGGCGCCATCCTGCTCGAATCAGTAACGTCTTATGTAAACAATGCAAGTGCCATTGAGCCAATGATTGTCGCTGCGTGATATGACGTCATGTGTTGAAGGCAGTCATATTTTACAGAGATATTAGAAGACTTTCGTAATAACTCCATAACTTCCTATGAAGTCATTACTGACTTCCAGTCATTTTGTATTTAATTCTTCATCCCTGAACAAGTTAGTATTTTTACTGACGAAACGTTGATAAAACGGAAATGTGGGCGTAAAAAAAAACACGATTTTTTTGTACAATCAATGGAAGTATTGGTCCGAAATTCGAACACAACCATAATTATGGTGTATCAGGTGATATATTTGAATAGTTTTTAAAATCAAATATAAATTGCGACCTTTAATAGTAAGTGCAGAAGGCCCGCACTACACGCAAAACAAAACCGACAACATAAACCTACAGAAAAGACAAACTACATAGACGTTGCAAGAAATAAACAACAAGTGAATGGATCCGGGGGCCAGTCGTAAGCGTCCAAGACCCTATTCAGTCCCAGGACTGTGATGATGCAGGCTTCACTCGGAATGAAAAAAACAACCCAAAACAATATTTTCAAGAAAGACGCTAAAACAATATATAAACAAATAACAAAGTGTAGTAAGCAAACATGAGTGAAGCACAACAACGACAACATCCTGTAGTACGAAAGGCAAAAACTCTATTCCAATAGTAAGAGCATAACAAAACTGGCAAGAGAGTCCACAAACAAATGTGAACGGACGTCCAGAAGAATAGGTGCGATGATTTAATACGACCACATAAAAATGTGGCCGTATAAAAAACAAAGAGGAGTAAACTTTACTTACTGTTAAAATTGTTGCTGTGACAGAAAATGCTAAAAATGCTTTCTCACTTTCTATTTCTACATCCAATAATGGAAATTCATAAATTTGATCATGATCAAGTTTACTTTTTACTCCAGCAAATGTCCACCATAAAAATGCTGTCCCAGCTTTAAGAAAAAATAGATATTAAAACAATATTATGATTAATTAGCAATGAACTGACATGAGTACAGTGTTTAGAAAAGCTTTGTCGCACCAAGCCAAACTGAAACCAGTTTCAGAAAAAAAATTGTCATTAAAATGCGCGTCTTTTTAGTAATAAAGCAGAAATATATTTCAGTGGTAGAAAAAATAGTTTTTGCTGGATTTACTCTCTATATCCCCCTGGATAATCAAATTTTGCGCCGACTGCTGGGTATTTATAAATGACGACATTACATTCTTCTTTCTGTACAGTAGATAAAGCCCCATATTTTTATTTCATTAAATGCAACTTATACATATGGTACGCAATACAAAAGACACATAAATTGCATGGTAAAACAGTTTTACTTTTCAAATTTTGATTTAATAAGTACATGTCAGATAAAGCCTGTTGGTCCTTCATTATACTCCTTCTGGTGCAGTTATCTCACTAGCGATAAAAAAACAGCAATTAAACAATACACACAATTGACACTCATTTTTTACCGATCGGTTAATTAACACACCTCTACAGATGTACAAATAACACTACAGACCAAGATTTCTATAAGGTACATGCACAGATTTATGAAACACTATTTAAAGCTAAATCTTGAATCACTGAATCATTGACCTAATTTCAAGCCCAACAGTCCCTCAATGACTGTGTGATATTGAAAGGTTGTGACATATGCATTTCATGTGACCTCGTTACTATCTATAAAAGATAGGTTGCCAGGCAACAAAACATACACCCACGGCAGCTAAGTGGTCCGACAGTCCACAAGAGTTGGGACATATCTATGGTTTTATAGGTAATGGGAGCATTTACAAAACACTAAGAAAAATATGTATAGTGCCAACCCATTAAGTAGTTATCAGAAATAATTAAAATTTAAGACTGTTTATTATAATACTTTCCATTTGTGACATTAAATATGATATATCATAAACTTGATAGACAAGCTTTGTAAATTATCCACAGTAAGCCTATGTTCTCTGTTTTAATGATAAGTTTGTGGTGAAACATGCATCATTGTGATCACCCTCCTCCACTCCCACCCGTACATCACAAAGTTGTCTCTCACTAAATTATTGGCTAGCGTTCAATAACCCTTGGTCAAAGTTTCAAAAACAAAACCATCAAGTACAGGTTTCAATTGAAATAAATCCCCAACAGCTATTATACTTACACCACCAAATAACAATGGGAATCATTTTACATCTTGCAATCTATGGTTTAAAAAATTTAACATCTGATTTCCTACCATTGATATTTCGTCAATGAAAACTATTTTCAGCCCTCCAAGGACTCTCAGGATATCCAATCTACTAGAATCCAGAGGCTTGTATTGCAAGGATTGATTTACTGGTACCATAACGGCCGAATGGATAGCGTTACCTTTAATGTTGTACGCCGCTTTTCCTGGTGGGGCCAGTAGCAACTGTTTTATCATTTGAAAGTCGTCGCCAACTTTACTGTTGAAATACCGTAACAGACTTTGATATAAACTAGTTGTTACAAAGCTTTTATGAACACCAGCACCTCCACAATGTATTGTTAACAAATTTCATTTGTTTTTCATAGACATCTCATATAAAGTTATTTCATCTTCCTTTTATTGTTTTGCGGCCTGCAAGAAGATCTAATCCAAGATAATATTCAAATTTTACAGGTTATTTTCTCGTTTACAAAATCTCAATTTCAATAGTTTCTTCATGTTCATTATCCTTTTCATTTTGCTGTATGATTGGAGCCTGCGCATCCCACAAATCTTCCATTTCCTGGCCTTCAGCAAATATTGCATCATCAACTTCTGAACGGTTATTTCAAATATTTTCCGTTGAATAACAATCACCTTCTTTTTTTCCTTTTTTATCTTTCTGCATAACCTTCAAGAAGGTCTTCATCTCCATCCTGGCAACTGGTATACAATATCAATAATTCTCGATAATATTTTTCAGGATCTTTATCAATATTGAAACTGACATATCTGATCACTGTAGGAATATTTCTTCTCTTCTCGTTTTCCATATTAGCTACATCATCTTCCAAATGGGAGTTGTGCTCATCAGCATTTTCTATTAATGTTTCAATTTCAGTGGTTTTTGAATGCTTAGTGTAGCGTCATAAGGGGCTACATATTCTGCCATAGTTATTTCTTCAAGTTTCTTCGTCATTTCCATCCACGTTTTCTAATTCTTCTTTCGTCGTCCTGGTGGAGAGGTATTGATAAATACAATTTCCCTTGACGATCTTCTCATTGGTAGATGTAATATGCTGTAAACAGCTTCCTGTGAACTCACCTCTACATTGCCTGCAGCCAAAATTTTTAGCGTGAAGCTCCGCTACATATTTCTCCCAAATAAACAAACTATACAGTCTGCGCTAACTCGATGTAGGGCTACATGAAAATTGTGATAATTGTCAAGTAAATGCTACATTTATAATAATTGTGAAGTTGACATAAAATTAAGTATTGTCGAAAATACCCGATGCCTTCATCCTATGCAAAGAATATGCTGTTGGTTAAATTTTGATTTAAAGTAAAATGCAGAAAACATAATGGACAAGGAAACATACAGAATTTCGGAAATCCATTTATGGTAAAAGGAGTTATCTCCCTTTATGGCAAATATCAATAATTATTGATAACAGTAACAGGATTTAACTATAAACAAGGGCCTATATAAATTCAACCTTTTTTTCAGATAGAATTTGAAGCTAAAGGTCTAACAAATATTTAACCTAAAACATAGCATCTACAGATATTTAGTTTTCTTACTAAAATAGATATAGCCAAAACTAAACAATACTGTAATGGGAGTGACAATATTGTAATTAAGAGAAAAAATATCAAATGGAGTATAATGTCTTACTGTTCTGTACCAACCCGTAAAATGAAGATGGGCGTACGTCATACATTATTGTTTGAAGGAGTGGGGGAGGCATTGCACATGTACAACTAGTATGCATGTGTCACCATCAGTAAAGGGCTGGCTCACTTACCGAGCGGCCCAGGGTTTGATCCTAGTCCAGCGTTGTTTCCCCTTGTAAGTGGCTCACGAATCAGGAGATCCAGGGCTTGATCCCTGTGTTTGTTGACCTAGACAGTTCCCTAAACTTTCCAGCATAGTTTCCCCATGTCAGTGGTGCAGGAAGTGGGGGGGGGGGGGGTAGTGGGCAGCGTCCAGTTATTTGGATGGAATATTTATATATATAAGTAATGGTTTAGAGGAAATCGACCATATCACGGTTGAGTTGAGCAGCTCGGTAAAGCACGTCCGTCTCGGTTGAAAGCACCCCATAAGATATTACTAATTGAACCACCATGACTCCTGATTTCTGCACCAACCAGGCTAATGAAGACAGAAGCCGATAGGTACTCTTTAGTTTTTTCTTTAGCTGAGCAGCTGCGATAAGTGGTCAGTCTTGTTTGAAAATTCTAGCTCAATTAGGAGAGTTATTGTGTCTTAAATATGTGTGACAGACAGAAAGACAAATTTGAATAGTCCCCTGCTTTCTTTGAAAGGCGGGGGACAAATATCATTACACTGATATACATGCCACAATGTCAAAACACTGATTCACTGTCAATAACTTCACCGTTTTCTAACACAAGGTTCAGCAAAGTGAAACAAGTGTTGAATCTCTAGACATAATAAACGGAAATTGCTGGAATTCAATATCATCTTTGTGATATAAAACTTAAATTTAAAGTTTCATCAAAATCGGATCAAAGTTGTGACCTTAAGAGGGTCCACACTCCACAACCTTGATACTTTTACACTATTTGCATATGAGAAGCGGCCATTTTGTCTGTCAGTTTCGGTCCGATTTTTACAAAATGCGAACTCAACCATCTACAGGGTGTAACGGTGATGAAACGTTTTTTTAAATCAGATAAAAAAAATTTAAATCTAGAAAGACCATATGCTAAAAACGTGATTTTTCGTACAATCAGGGGCCATAATCCAGGAAGTTACGGTTTGATATTTGCGAATAACTAAAGGAATCGAGATCTTTGGGTTATAAACATACATTTTAAGTGTCATCAAAATCGGATAAAAATTGGGACCGCAAGATAAAAATGTGATTTTATGTACAATCAGGGGCCATAACCCAAAAAATTACAGTCCCATACATGCAGCGGAACTGAGGATTTTTGGAGATAAACCTGTATTTCAAGTTTTGTCAAAATTGGATAAAAATTGTGACCTGCAGAGCACAAACAAATTGTGGAAATCCAAGCTAGCGGACAGGGGCAGCGACAATATATGTCCACATGAAAACAAGGAAGCAAAAACAGAAAAAAGTGCGACTAGTCTTCATGACGGTTGTCTGCTAAGTGACATGATGTAAAAGGCGGTAGATTGCCAAAATGACGTCATCCAAGTCAGATAAAGATAGGTTGCCAGGTAATGAAACATACGCTCACAGCAGCTAAGACATCCGGGCAGTTAAAAACCTAAGTTAAAATGTAATAAAGATAGGTTGCCAGGCAACAAGACATACACCCACAGCAGCTAAATCGTTCGAGCATATTTATTCTTTTGTAGGTAATTGGGGGCATTTACAAGACAATTTCTTAAAGATCAGATTATAATTTTTGTCGTTCACAAGGTTCTAGAACTGAAACAAGGGCATTAACTCTGGCAGTAATTTACAGAAATTGTTGAAATTTGGCAGGCTTTTTCGTTTTACTAATTTAAATAATGCATATAAATTTCATACAGATCGGATGATAACCTTTGTCATTCAAACGTTCACAAGGTTCACAAAGTAAACCAAGAGCCATAGATCTTGAAGTAATTGATGGAAATTGCTGAAATTAAATAGACTATTTCATTTCACAAATCTAAATGATGCATATAAATATACAGTACCATTTGGTACTAATCGCCATGTTGAATTACACAGCATTTAACGTTTTAAATCTTAACTACTTTATGGAATCAACGACAAATCTAAACTTGGGCACTC